AATATGGAATGTTCTAAAAAAATATATATCATCAAAATATGGAATATGAAAATCTACTAATTATATTTAAATTAAACCAGTGGTTATTTATGGAATATAGTCTTGGGCTTACTTTTATTTTTTTAAACAAATTATATAGTTTAGTTTTTGGGCTTAGTATTAAGAAAAAAACTCTAAAAACATTGAATAAACTTATAACTTTAAAAGATCAAAAAATCAATTATTATTTTCAGACCCAAAAGGTATTTAATATTTTTAACAAAATAAAAATATCTATTATTAATCATTTATTTAAATCATGTAATTTAAAACATGTTAAGATATTTTTTTATTCTAAATAACAATCACTTTGTTTCGATAAATTTCAATGGTAACTTTTAAATAATTGATTGTTTTATTTTTCTTAAATAATTTACTGATTAAAAAAATGTAAAGCAAAACCAAAAACCAAATCTAAAAACTAAAATCCAAAACCAAAAGCTGAAAACACGTGTTATATTTTTTTGCTTTGATTATTTACAAAATAAACTATTTCAAAATTTTTTTTTTTAATTTGTTGTCATCTTTTCAGTTTTGAATTAGATGTTCGATTATTTGAGATTTGTTTGTTGGTAATATTAGTTCAAACCAACTTAGCGGGTTTAAAAATTAAAAACCCAAACCAAAAACTGAAAATGAAAAGTAGAAACTTAAAAACTAAAAACCAAAAACCAAAATCTAAAAATAAAAACTGAAACTAAAAACTAATGAAAAATAATCATCACCACAAATTTTGGTGAACTGATTTTATATCAAAATATTCTTTAAACTAAGACAAAACCCAATTATATAAATTTTAATCATAAAAAATTTCTGCGCTTTCAAGCGCGGGTTAAAATCTAGTTATGTTCTATTTCAGAGATATTTTTCATATATCTTTTATATTTGTAGTTAAATCCACAATTTTGTCTAGTTTTTCTTGAATTATTCTGTTCATTCTAATTTGGTTTATTGATATATTAGCCATTATTTGGGTTTGGTTATTTAATATTCCACATATTATTCTGGATGTAATTTATTGCTATATATGCTTTCAACTCCGCAAGTTCGAATAAAGTCACACATTGATGGTTGGTGGTGGTGGTGAGTGTAATGGATATCATAACGGAGACAAAATCTCGAATCCTCATCACACTATTTTGGTAATCCTCATCAAATCTCATAAAAGGTCAAATCATCTTCTCTAGAAATACATTACAAGACGTATTGTAAACTAGACAAAACTACATGTTGGATTTGTCATTTTAGAGTGGCTTTTACAACACCCCACTGAAAGATTCGAGACTTATAATAACTTAAAATACATATATGTGTAAGTATATATTAATATTAGGATTTAGTTTAGAATTCTTAACTTGAGAAATGCAACCCAAAATATTAGATACATAGGTTTGAGTTTTCATAAATTTAAGAACTATACAACTAAATACTAATATTAATATATATATATATATTGAGACCATGATTATCTCAGTTTCTTAACAGGGTTTTCAAACATAATAGGTGATTTAATTAAATCAAAACTAACTAAATTCATTGTTATCGATTCTGTGGAGACTTTGGAGACTGATTTTAAAGGTTGTTACAATCACGTGTCAGCAAAGAAAGGGATCTATGTTTTTTTTTTCTGTTTTTTCTTTTTCTTTTCTCTTTATTTTTTCTTTGCTTCCTTCATTTTCTCCGTCATGTGCGACGACTGAAGCCCACCACGTCTTCTCTCTTGACATCTCCGTCAGAGACGATCGAGGACTCTGTCGGTCCTCACGGCGTCTCCTCTATGGCTCTTGCCGACGAAAAAAAGCTATGATTGTTCTCTCAGTGGCTTTGATTTGAGAAGAAGCCGGCTTGTTCTTCCTCGCTCCTTCACTCTTGTCTCTCCAGAGTCTCAAGACCAGAGCTTCTTCTTCTCTTACACAAACTCGTGCTTTCTAACCCCTCATGATCATCTCATGATAGTCTCGGATCAAGAAGAAGACTAACGTTGTAGAAAGAAAAACATTTAAACACGCTCAAAAGGTGTGACCTTTATAGATGTGAAGTTGTAAGTTGAGCTTATTTTCATATGACCTTTCCCTTGTTAGCAGAATATTGATGATGGTTCTGTAATGATGAACTTGCGGGGTTACCGATGATAGCTTTGTTGATATCTGAGCATAAATGGAACCAAGGAATCGTTGAAGAAGAAACCAGCAAACTCCCTTACCTGACTCTTCAGGTTACTTTCTCTGCTTAACACAAACAAAGACTGTGTAACTATTATGTATATATTGTTATATACTCTTATGTTAAGTGACCAAATTGCAGTCACTTGATGCAGAGAGAATGTGATCAGAGATCAAACGAGGTTAGCTTTTTCATTTAAGGTTCAAGAAGTGAAAAAGAACAAGCTTTTGCTTATCTCCTGAAGAAGCTCAACACTAAATGGAAGCTTCCTCTTAATCAAAAGCAGGTTTATATTGTATCAGTCTTTTGATATGCTTACGAAGGTGAGTTCAAAGTTTCTTACATTGTTCTTATATGCTATGTTCTTGCTCACAAAATCATATATGTAATGTTTCCATGTTGGCTGCTGAATCCAGGGAACAATATTTCAAGGTACCTCCTCATTAGCAAATCATTGGCATCATTGGTTCTCTTTGACTTCGGGACTGTTATTCTGCTGCTGAAGAATAAGCTACAGCTTCTCACAGTTTGTATTGGTGGTGTAGGTTCAGTCTCTGCTTATATTTCTTACACCCCAGATTAGGTTTGTCTTTTTTCTCCGACAAAGAACATTAAAACCACTCAGAGAGCTTTAAACCATCTGATTGCATTTATTTTTGGGAATTCTGTTAACAGTTTTGGTGCTGGCTTGATGGGTTCATTAGCATATATGAGAATGTTTGATAACACTGTAAACAGAGTTGGCCCTGGGTCCAAACAAAAGAAGCATGGACTTCCAGCTGCAGATACATATCAAAATAACCGGCCACATTTTTCCAAAAGGTGTTTTTGGTGTAGTGGTTAAACAACTTATCTCCCTGCGTCTGAACCATGATTTGAGGCCTATCACCAATATTTGGAAATTTTTCTATTTTTGGATTTTAACCTGTAGAATCTTAGGACCGGTACTGACTGTAGATGCCACTGCAGATGGAGCCAGAGGAGTTATGAAGTACGTGTCACCAGTGACAGACCCAGGATTTCTTTTAACCTGGGTCAGAAATTAGTTAGGGCTTTTATATCAAGTTAGTAAAGAGGTGTCAAAGTGCGTCGAACCCAAGTTTTTAGGGTGACAATTATGGATATTAAGCCATCAGAGCTGTCGACACTTACTGATAGTTGCAAACAAAAATAAATTTTATATTTTATGTGGTGTGTCAGCTGATCCACCATTAATGCATGTGGTCCGTCTCTGCGTGTTACATGACTCTCATCAAAACTCATATGTTTGTAGAATACTTGTTCCTGAATCCTGAGTATGGATTCATGCACTTGGAGATTTAAGAAATCCAAATTAAAAAATTTATTATTATAGCACAAAAATTAAGTGATTCTTTTTTTTGTTGGAATGAACGTTAAATTTATTCATCAAAAAGCCGTATTACATCAGGAGAGTGTATTTGTTACTTACAAAGCAAGCATCTTATTTACATTCTAGTAAGAAACCAAAATTGCATTACCTCCTCCATTCCTTTAACTCTCTTCGATCTCAACAAGCTAATCTTATTACGAACACCTTTCTCAATCACTTTCTTAAGAACTGATAGCGGAAACAGTTTGTCACCATGTGTAAGCTTGTTCCTTTCTCTCCATACTGCGTAAAGTATAGCTTGAAAAGCATATCGTATGCAAAACAAACTCTTCTTGTCTCTAGACTTATCAGAAACAAGATCCACAATCTCGGACCAGGCAGTATTGTACGATCTCCCTAGGATTCTTTTCACCATAAATTCCCAAATCTGGCCAGTGTAAGATCACTCAAAAAAAAGATGGTCCCTCGATTCCGAAGCTAAAAAGAACACAGATCGTGTACACACCTAAACTCCACTTAGCCATTCTGTCCATCGTTGACAATCTGTTCAACATAGACAACCATGCTATAAAGGAAAATTTAGGTGTCGCGTGGGAGAACCAAACACCACACGCCTAAGTGCACAACAGTTTACTTTCTCTTAATAACCACCAAGTTTTATATGTCGAGAAATCCCTCTTGTAACCAGATTTCCTTCTCCACATACTAACATCATCAGTCTCTGGATTAAGACTTCTCGAAATTTCATTTAACTCCACTTCAATTTCATTGAGTTATTACCTTTACGGTGTATTTTCCTTCTCATACACAAAACTACCTCTTCAATTGTTGCATCCTTTTTCACTCCCACATCAATAATTCCTCTCTCACCCAAAACTTCACTCAAAACTCCCCTCTTAGACCATTTATCAAACCGAAAGGAAATATGTCTCCCATTACCCAACTCTTTCATATAAAACAGCTTTGCCACATCTCTAAGTTTCAATATTTTACGCCAAATCCAAGATCTCACTTGAGTAGTAGAACTCACTTCCCAAAAACTTTTCCCTTTTAATAGCTTAGTACTGACCCACTGACCCCAAAGAGATTTACCTGATAGCATTCTCCATATTATCTTAAGGCCCGAAACCTTATTCACTACTTTAAGTTCTCTAAACCCCAAGCCACCTTCATCTTTAATGCAACAGAGATCCTTCCATGCAACATTTGCATTAGTGGCTTTCAGTGCTGCCCTGTCCACGAACATGCAGAACATATTTGTTCCAACTCCTTTGCACATTTACTTGGGAGAAGGAAAACAACAAGCCAATAGTTGATTATACTTATCAGCACAGCCTTAATCAACTGCAGACCTCCCGCGTACGACAAATATCTACACGTCTCGGTACTTATCTTACTTCTAATGTTTTCTAAAAGAGGAAGATAATCATGTTTTCTCATCACTCTGATCATAAGGGGAAAACCCAAATACCTCACCAGAAGATTGCCAACTGCTAGAGGGAAGTTATTCAAGATATTATTCTTCTCATACACATACACTCCAGCCATATAAATTGTAGACTTCTCCAAACTAATGCTCAAACCCGACCAAACTTTTAACTCATCAAAAATAGAGAGAGCTCTCTTAATTGATAGCTTAGAACCTTCTACAAACACCATCAAATCGTCTCCAAAACAAAGGTGTGTAAGTGAGAAATTCTGACATCTCGGATGGAACCTGAACTTCCCTTCACACACTGCTTTATCAATTATCCTGAACAAAACGTTCATACAAAAAAAAAGATACGGTGAGAGAGAGCAACCCTTCCATAACCCCCTAGAACTTTGAAAATAACCAGCCAGGTCACCGTTGACTTGAACCGAGAAAGATGGAGTGGTGATACACAAACGGATCCAATGAATAAATTTTCAGGAAAGCCTAAAGCAGATAAACTCCCTAATACAAACTCCTATTGAACAAAGTCAAATGCCTTTGATATGTCAATTTTCATCACGCACTGAGGGCTCACCATATCACTGTGATAGTCCTTGACCAACTCAGAAGCTAAAAGCGCATTTTCCATAAGTAATCTCCCTTGGATAAACGGAGACTGATTCTCTAAAATGATCTTACGTAAGAGTTTCTTCATACAGTTAGCTATCAGTTTAGAGACCACCTTGTAAAGGACATTGCAACAAGCTATCGGTCGATAAACTCTCCTCTCAAGCGAGTTCTGCTTCTTGGGAATTAAAGCAAGAATCGTCGCGTTAACTCCCTTTGGCAAAAAAAAAACAAATTTAAAGACCGCCTGCACTGCAATGGTGAAATCCTAAGAAATTACAGACCATGCAGTCTTAAAAAATTCACAAGAAAATCCCTCTAGCCCTGGGGATTTATTATTTGGCATAACAAATAGAACTTTCCGAATTTCCTCAGCCGTAAAATCTGCTTCCAACAATCTGCAATCTTCAACTGAGCATCTGAAATATAATATATACTGTAAGTCCTCCAGTTCAACCCCTTGATATCTTACTTGGACCTGATTCAAAAACTTCGAGAAAAATCTCTCAGCCTCTTGCTTTATGTCTGCGTGAGATTTAGCAACACTCCCATTACTACAATTGATTTCTCTAATTATATTCTGGTCCTAAATCGTTTTGATAGCTCTATGAAACATCTTATTGTTTTGGTCACCCACATTAGCCAATGAAGCTTGGCCCTCCGCTTCAAGAACTCTTCTTCAAATGTTGCTACATATAACCATTTCCCATATGCATCCGCCTCTTCTTTAATGGAATTTTCCCTAAGATTTACAAGAGTAATACTCTGCTTATCACAGCGGACCTAAAAAGCAATCTTAGCTCTTTTGGATAAATTCTCCAACTTCTCTTTACCCAACTCTCTGATCAAAGGTTTCAAGTTCTTCAACTTTTTTGAAAACATGAACATAGCTGAAGTAGATAGAATAACCTCTTCGTTGAATTCCAATAATTCTACACCATAGGTATAAATGAAGGAATATTACCTATAACGCTAACATATTTAAATGTCCTTTGGATCTTCTCCCTATGTGGATACAGCTGAATCCTGCACCGCATGTGATTAGAACATCCACCTGACTCAAACACTGAATAAGCATCCCCAAACTTATCCAAAGCTGCTTCATTTAGTTTCTTACATATAATACCTTCTTCCCTCTTATTACACCATGTATACATTGGACCCTGATATGCCATATCAGAAATCTGGCAGTGGAGAGCCATACTCTGAAACTCTCTCATTCCACACGATATCCCACTCAAATGATCAAATCCAGAACTTTCTTCCCCATCTAAAATCCCCCCCCCCCATTTTTCCAAGCTTTATCTTTGAAAATAGGAGAAGCGTAGTGATGAACAAGATCTTCCCACAAACTCTTCCTCTCTTTGGCTTGGTTTCTAGCATATACACAAGTACAATAGATTTCTTCTTCATCTTGTAACTCCAGTGCACAAGTGACTAACTGATCTGATTTATAAACTGTAGTCATCCTTACTGAATCCCTCCACATTACCCATATTCTACCTCCATTACTTTCTTCATAATTTGTTATAACCGACCATTCTTTAAAAACCTTATCCATAATCTTCTTTGCCTTCCCTTCTCTCACCCTTGTTTCCAATATACATCCAAATTTCATCTCCTTATTGCTTAACCACTGATGAACCACAAAATGCTTCAAAAACTAGTTAAATCCGCGCACCTTCCGAAAGAAGCTCGAAATATTTAATATTTCCATCTAGAAGACCTTTTATCCCTTGGATTTTCATACGGAGCTATAGCTTTCTGAACTCTCTTTCCCCCTTTTTTTAAGTATAGCTTTATCTTCCTCCAAAACTTGATGATCAATACTCTTGTCCTCCATCCTTTCACTAACTATACTGTTATTTTCTTCCACTTCCTCATTTTCTATATCCTTAGCAATTGATACCCCTTCTAAACTATCCTCCTCCACTTCAGCCACATCCAAACCCAAAATAGAAATTTTGAAGAGGAAATCAGAATATTCTCCACTTTTTTAGGAGTATTGTGAGATCTTCCTATCTTACCCAGGAGAGACCAAGCATTCCCTCCCTTCTCCACACCCATAGATCTTTGTTTTCCTACACTCCTCTCACAATTCTCCACGGTGTTCTGAAAAACACCTTCTAAGTTTTCCTTCCTCACTTCATCCTGATTATCATTCTTCCCCAAAACCTTTTCATATACCTTCTTTTCTTTCGAAATATTGCTCCCTTCCTGCTTCTTCTTCTCTTTCTTCTTCAATACACAAACATTAACTTTGTGACCCCATTTTCCACATAGATTACAACGTGAAGGTAACCAAGGATAGTAGAACTCTGCAGTAAACTCCTTACCCTCGTTAGAAAAGTCTATTTCCTTTGGCAAAATCTTTGACACATTCACATTAACAAAAACTTTTGCCTCTTTAAAGTTAGAACACGCAACCGG